CTATATTTGAAAAACGCCGACCGCGCCTGTCAGGTGACATTATAGGACCGCAATCAATCTGGTAACGTGTTTCTTATGTCAAATTTCCATATGCCACTTTTGTAATGGATGGCTCTTCCACATCGTAATAAAGCATTAATTGATGAAAAAAAAATATGATTCCTTCAAAATACAAAACGTTACTGATATGATGTGGTTGAATTTGTCAAATTTGTCGACTACCTGGCCAGAGCAAAAGGTGCCAATCACAAAGACTAATTAATGCTTAGTCATTTGGCTCTGGTCGGGTGCGAACTGACAGTGACACAGGCTGTGCTACCTTTCTGTCTGAATCACTTCTACCTTATAGCCGCCTGGTACCATATGGTTCGACATTTTACTTAAAAGGACAAAAATGTCCGACCAGTTCCACTGCCATAAAACACTGAGCATCTCCAGTTGATGTTCCAGTTGACATGGAATGTCAACGCCACGGACTTGTTTTTGGGCGTCATGTATATTTGGCGTCTGTCATACAAATTGTGCAGCTTCCTTACATTGCCTCAAGGCTAGCTAACTGTTAAATATAAGTTACAAAAGGTTTAGCGATGTCACATACGTCATGCAGACTTTCTAGTTTAGATACAATCGTACATTTTTATGACAGCTAAATGACAACGTCCTTTTGGAGACACTTGCGGGAATTCTTTTAGTATTCGTGCCAAGAAAGTTCTTTAAAAATCCACACGGAGGCCTTCGTTAAGATCCCATTGTAACTTCTAATGACACACGTACGCAAAATTGCAGCAAACGTTTATAGATCTCCGCGTTTTGCAGTACTACTCACCTATTGCTATTCGACTCCGTTATGTTCAGCTCTACCCATACAGCCGATGCGAGGAGAAACTGTGGTGAGGTCTTCGATTGGGTGGCCTCATTCCCCACACCAAATGTGTGCAAGTTGGCGAAGCACCACCTGTTTTACCGTCAGTTTTTTTCTTTAATGATCTGATTTTTTAGCGGCCTGGCACTATGCGCACCAATTTTCCAGACCTCAGATCTGAAAGAGGACAGACCCTGGTAGAAAGAGACAGCCCTGGTAGTGCTTTTAGCTAGGAAAGTTCCAAACATGAGAGGGTTGCAGCGCCACGTGCAGAACCCTCCCGCTTTCTTAAAGAAAAAAAAACAATATTTACTCATTACAGAAACTTTTAAATGGAGGAGACGCTGGTGTGACAGTGTCAGTTTCTGTAAATATTGCAAGCCAGCAGACTCAATCGAATATGCTCTCTGCAAGCAGATGTGTTCTTGTTGATGTCTATCATAGTTTTGATAAATCTGCGTCCAACCATAGAGTTGATAACTTTGTCGTCTTTGTTTATAGTGCTTATCCTGCCTGAGCTCTGCTGGTGCATTTTGGTAAAGTTTTAAGGATAGCTGACCAAGAATCGGTGATCCATTACCGTGGAATCTATATCGATTAATAGAATTAACGCCCTAAACGCTTGATAAACGGGAGTTCTGAAAGACTTGAGCGCTACAGGATGGCCCGTCTCAACGCGCTTCATATATGCAGTGAGTTCAATGATGCCTTCTACTATACAAGAGTCTATACAATATTAATAGCTTTAGTGATCACGATTAATCGTAACTTAAGGGCTACTTATAGCAAAAACCATTTTGGAACAGAAGTCCTTCAATAATGATCCGCCCGATAGCCTTTTGTAGGGCTCCACCAACTAACTGCTTACAATAAAGAAGTTTGATTAAAAGATTTTTCTGTATAATTACCATTTCGACCGACGTACGGTTAGAAGCATAGTTCAAGTAACGCACAAAAACACGATAAGCCAATTGCCCAATTGACTGCAGACATTGAGAACAAAAAGAAATTCACTGAACATAACAAAGGCTCCTAGCCTGAACACATGCTCCCTTGTGCTTGAATTGTTATCTTATCTGTATATTTTTTAAGCTTCACATACAAAACGATCGAATATTCATATGCTAAAGCTGTTGTATGTAGAATGACGCTGGTTTATTACTTTTTTTTTCATTCTTCTCATTTTATTTAGTTTATTAGCAATTCAAAGGTTAATACGTACTCAGATTTACATTTGCCCAAAATGGCCATACACTAATTCATCTGACGTGGGACGGTTGTGTGACCCAGCCCAGATTTCTACTCCCACCTGCCTAAGCGTACATTCGACATTTATATAATCAGGCAATCAGCAATCGTCAAACTCAATGGCTAACTAATTCTTCTTCACGGCACTAGAAATTGTTTGCATGAAGCACTGACAAAGGTTACAGTGTTATGTTAGTCCCATATTTCCAATTAGGGAAATGCTTTCGAGCCCATCTGCGTTCGACTGCGACAAATAAGTGAGCTACAGATAGTATTACTTACTCTGTTCTACCAGCAAAAAGCCACGTAATTTACTACAACCGTCACGACAGTATAAATTGTGGCTAAACGCCTTTGGTTGCCTGCTACGTGAAAGGTAGCGGGCTCCGCATCTATCGGTAAGGCCGGTAGACCTCCGAGAAGACCGCCTTTGATAGAACGGTTTGGAATAATGATTAAAAAGATGTTCTTCATGTCCTTGTCTGACTAAGACTACTTTGCAAGTTTTGCGATCTGCTTCGATGTTACCTGTCTCTGACGTGTTTATGATTAATGTACTGTTGGCAGGCGCGCGAATAAGGTGCTATTACTTTATTTTCGCCATTAGTATTATTATGTTTATAATGTTATTATATTATAATTATAACTATTAGAATTATGTTATTATTATAGTTATGGCCATAACACTTGATCAATGATGTTCATGAGTGATACTTAGGTAAGTGCACGTAAGTCAGCCTAACTATTTTTTATTGATGACTTGAGAGGCCTTTTTGCAATTTTTTCGTATACGCATAGGATGTCTTATGATTGCAACGACGTATTTATAATACATGCGTACTATTCAGTGTTGCATTGTGTTACCGTTATTGCTATTGTTATTGTTAATTACTCGAAGATTCTTTTGTTCGATTTTTGTTTTTTTGTTTATTACGCCCACTTTTGGCTTTATTGTTTATGTTCATTGGCTGCTGATTTTAGATATTAGTTTTAATTAATTCCTAGTGTAGAGCCACTTGTTATTCGAATTTCTATCAGAGGTAAAGAAACGATCTACATTTACATTGCGGGAACGGGCAACAAATTTCAAACAAAATATTTTTGCCATACTCCGCTTTTTCTATCTACTTGATTCACCATTGATGTGAGTAAACCATATTCCGATGGTCGATTGGCCCATTACTGAATTTAACCCCAAAGTGAGCACATAATAATTAGAACGTCCGCTTCTCTAAAAGGAACGTAAGTGGGGAAAATAACGTAATGCAATCTAGCTCGAATATAATCTGATTTGTTTCCACTTAAATGGGTGGGTGAACACGATTGGCACTATCTATTTTTTTTTATGAAGCCGGCCGGCATAGCGAAGTAGATGAAGGAAGATTGAAATGGTTACCATTCGCCGCGAATACGTTCAATGTCAGCGGTTGTTTCCCGATCGGTCGTAAAGTGGTGCGAGCACAGAGTGTCTTCGAAGTTTTGGAATCTGTTTTTTTCTTTTGTAGATACTTGTTTAATGAAACAACTGTATTTATCTTTACATCTAAATAGGGCTTATTTAATCGACAAGACCCCCAAATTCAGTTTTGATCATGCTGCACTGCTTGTACAGGGGGCGACCATTGTTTTTCACTAAAAACAGTATTTTCTCTTAGATAAAAACACGCAAGATCCCGTGATGGCACCGTGGTGGTGTAATTATCTATTAAAGTTAGAGATACCTAAATCGCTTTAGAACTGGCAAGCACATGCATCATTTTGTACTGGAAGATTGAAGCAACACTTGGTGGCAATGAAACCGAACGTATACATGAAACACCTAATGGATAAAGGAACACCAACGTGTCAAATTAAGGTTAAAAGTTATCTGTAACCTCTATGATAGCTCAACAGCCAGGATATTTCATTTAACAATTAAATTTGATTATAGCTTTTTTCATTAGCAATGAGTGAGCCTAGACCTGAAGAGACGAAGTGAGCTTACTTCCGGACTTCAGTTTTCCAATATATTTTATATGTATGGCTGAAATGCGTATCTGTTCACAGATCTGTTTTATAATATAATTGATCAAAGTGTTTTTGACTGATAGTAATCTTAACAAAACTTAATAAAGTAATAAGGTTTAGGAAAAACGCCTTCCAAACGTGTTATTATAATCTGCTTTAGATATGATATAAGTTAAATCCTAAAATAAATTATCAACTTCCTCATATCAGCAAAATATACTTTTTTTTGACATGACGATCTCTATATTTTATTAGCTATCAGTTTGCTTTTACTTGGCCTCAGCAAATAACTGGTCCAAGATGAAGCTTGGACAACCGTTTTGTCCAACACCACGTGTAAGGCGCGTATTGAATTGAATCCATTTTAGGGCGAATAGGTTTTTTTTAACGTATCTCCAGTGTGTTCATGCCTTAGAAAAACCCAAAATTGAAGTAAATGCCTTTTAAGGTTTCACCTTAAAAGGTGAAACACCTTTCAACCAGTGATACCCGTTCATGATTTCCATAGTATCTAATCATATCAAAAAGCGGTTCTATGTAAAAAGAATGATTCTTACTTAAAATTTTAACTTAAATTCTAGATTCCAACTGGGCTCTCTCCAACGAGGTAAAGCTAATATAATAGTAGCAATATATAGATTTTTTTCCGCTGATGCAGACTGTTTGACGTGTTCAAGTACTTTCCCATTTTAGAAGGCTTTTCCCTTCCACGACCGTAGCACGAGTTAGAACGCATGATGACTAGGCATTCATGAGGAGACAACGCGCGTAACAGGTTCGTGAAGGGCTCCTTTTCTGTCAACGAGGCGTAATCTTAGCCGCGCATGCGCGTCGGACCCTTCAATCGCCAACCCGTCTGCTCTGGGGCCGTATACCTTTTATTTCGACTGTCTGCCTTTGATACAGGCGGCCGAAACCCAAATTCGATAGATCGGTGCTCCCTTCCCCTCTTTCCTCTGCACTCAGCCAACTCTCAGTTGTTCCCCTCAAAAGGAGTTGGACAAGAGGCTTTCTGAGTGACTCCTACACCATGCGAGCTTAGAGCGGCTTGGGGAAGAGAACCACGAAGGAGCTTCGCAAAGGCCTGCCAATGTCAGGCTGTTTTATACATCCATCCTTATTTTCCACCTTCATACCAAACCTAAAGCAAAACAGGCGTAGAAGGCGTTAGGCAGCATTCGAGCTGTCTCATAAATCTTTGCAGTAAGCACGTATCTTATATATCAACGAACTGAATTGTTTTGAAGGAACGACTATTCTGGTAGTAACGTCATCTTCAAGGTAAAAGAAAATGGCTTTTGGTGCCGAGGAAGCTTTTCGAGTGGGCGAGAGAAACTTTATTAGGAGACGGGGGTGCGGGATTTAGGGGGTTTATAAGATGGGAGGGGACCTCTAAAGCTGAGGTTGCTGTCGCTTTCTTTGCAGGTAAAGGGACAGCGTTGTAGAGGAAGACAGCCGTTGGCGAGGTCTGCTGGGATCAGCTGACCGAGGCACAACATTGAGGTGCTCTCCCCTAAACGACTCAACATACCCATAATACGAGTCCTTTTGTGGACGCTTCGTTAGCCACCGACAGACTCCTCTTGACTGTTGGCTGTTGGTTGTTGAATATTTGGCGCGGCTTAATCACTCTTGTCATTTTTCGGTATTCCAGATCTCGCCGCTTCTCGGTACCAAACCGAGAAATGTGTTGAGTTTATCGAATTTGCGGACGTCACCCTGTCTGGCGGCGCGGAGGTCATGTCGCGCCAAGAGGACTCCGACGACGGGTGAGTGAATTAGTGGTACTTGTTTCCTCAGTTGTTTCCTACCATTAGCCATCACCCGAAATCCCTCTGTTGTCCACCGTAGCCTGTTACCAGTCCGAGCGGTAGTCGCGGATACAATCCATCATTGCTTGAACAGCTAAATAGTGCCCGATTTCTGCGCCCTTAGCTTTATTGGCTGGTTATCGTCCGAAAGAAAGCAGATAGAGACATGTCTACTTTACGTATGTGTGATGCCTGAGGAATCATATCAGAGTGCTAAGTTAGGCTGTGAAGTAACGACGGGGGAAAGCAGCGTAGTGTTTGGTTTGTGGGTGTGGATCTCACTATAAGCAACCGACGTTCCGAAGGACTAGAAAAGACAAACCTCACCCCGAATCGAAGGAAATGACATACCATAAATAGGTTGACATAATCAAAATGTAAGTTATAGCTAAGCTTCAGGAAATGAGTGGTCATCAGTAAATATATTTTTTATTCCAACAAAAATATCAACGAAGGGACAATTTTACAGGCCGCCATTATAACATGTCCATTGAGTTGGCTTTCATTTAAACTATGGGCGGCTTATTAACAATCTTTGTCAGGTGTTCCTCTAAGAACACTTGAGTGTTCTTATTGGAACGCCTAACGGTGTTCTTCAAGTGCCTACAGTTGATGTTTTGCTGATCTATTGTGGTGCTTTTCGCAAGAATATTTCTTCCTAGATAGTTTCATTTGTCAGGAAAGTATACGGAGGGATTCTTATAATAAAGGCAACACTCAAAAACGAAAATTTGCTTCAAAGTCTGTATAAGACTTAAAAACCACCTCTGGACGTTGTGCCTCTGTTTCAGAACGTTCGTTGCACGCTAATAATTCTAGTTTAGAGTACAGTTCTTTATTCAAAATTACAACCCTTCCAATGGAGTAAAAAGTACTTGTATAGTAAAAATCATAAAACGGCTTAATTAGGAGTCTTTGAAAGGCGGTGCTAGGTAAATGTTTTCACATGTGTAAATGAGTTCACACTTCTGCCATCTACTTAGGGGCATGCAGTGATGTGTGGAAAGTCGTTGAATCCTATTATATAGCCAACAAGATATTTACCAAAAGGTTGTTTGTGTCGAGAATTTTACTTTTCTGTTAAGTCGTTCATTTGTAACTTATTCGATAAAAATCAGGGTGGTGTATATTTGGCTAAAAAGTGTCAAGTAGATTTATCATGGATTCTAGGTATCGAGAAAGCGTGCTTGCTGCCTTCTTTCTACCCCTCGAATGGTCCAATATGATTTGATGTGAATGAAAGGTTATAGCCCACAAAATAATACTCTAAGGGGACGGAACGCTTCTGTAATGCGCCATAGTGTAGGGTTTCGAATTGCCAACAGTAGGCATTGCTGATTTGATGCGATACATGACGTGATGAAACCACTTTCATGGTTACGTTATTTACATGGTTATTATCAAGTGAACTTTATTGCTTAAAAACTGGTTGAGTATCGAACGTGTCACAGGAGATCGCCTCCATACATACATCATTGTTTCGGAATAAAGTTGGGAAATTGTTGCCCCCAAGGAAATTATATCAACGAGCTTTTCCAAAATTTTATTCCCAACCTTGCCAGATTGCTGTCCATTTCTCCATAATGTAATGAAAATTCCATATGTTACATAAATATGTAGATCTTCTTTTATTTTGTTACTGTTGAAATTAGCGTAGCATCAGCTGGGCAGTTCTGGCTGGAAATTTCGTGGAGCCAAACTCAGTATTACAGCGTGGAGAACAATCTGGCGGTAACGACGAGAAGAACATCTCGTTAAAATGGGCTTTTATATCAGCACATAAAAGACAATCATGTCAATTGATTGGGCAATATCTGGATACAGAAACGGTGCAATCAGGCTGAAATTCGTATGGAAGATGGAAACACCAAAACAATGACTGAACCAAATACTAACCGCAATATCAGCGATCTCACCTGAACGTTATGCTTGAATCTCTAACGATTGTTTATCGTGGTCTTACTTCTTCTACGTGATTTACTTCACTATCATCAGTGTTCAGGATGAAGGACTGAAGCCGTTCATTCGCATGCATTTACGTACCTCTGACATACCATTCAAGTCTCCACAGAATCTCGCAGTTCGTGGCTTAGCAGTGTTAATGTTCTAAAACCGGAATTGAGCCGACGTACACGATAGTAGCGCAGCTTCTAACAACACAATGCAGTCGACTGGTGCAGTTCGGTGGGTTCACGGCATACCCACCTCAGTTAGCTGATGCATTATTCATGTAAAGTTTGGCCATGACTTAAGACGACTGTTTTTTGCCTTGTGGATTCTTTAGAAAATAGGAATTCGACTTCTGCGATTTATGGTTGCATATGGAAGTCGTGAGACGAAATTAGGTCTCCTGTGTTTTCTCTATTGAGATCGTGCCATCTACAAACGGTTTCATGCCTGATCCGTGTCTAACTAAATAACAAGCAGAACGCTCACGTCATCAACGATACAAAATTTCCCACAAAATGCACAATTGCGAGCAATAAGTAAATTTAACCCTTATCTTGTCTAATTATCCATGAGTGCGCTTGTCCTTAGAACGAAAATAGTCAGGCTGTCATATTCAAACATGTACTACACTACTACCACTTTATGCTGTATAAAAATGTAGGCTATTTACGTGAATTGCCAATAGCATCTATAAATGTCATGGTCTGGTCCACGCTTTTAAGCCCCCGAAAGAGCTTGCTTCGTCAAAGGCTAACAACAGCAACAAAAACAGCTAGCCAGAAATGTGGCCGGGTCGATTCATAGACACTCCTGCAGACCGAATGGCACACTGACAGCTACACGCATCTAGGCATTGGTCTGCCAGAAATGCGCGAAGGGAAACCAATTCTATGACGAACGCCAGAAACGTTCTTTCTTTCAACAATGAGGACTTCTGTGTCGATTCCGCCTGCCACCCGCATAAGGTTGAGCTAGTATTCTTCGGCGCCGCCTCACCAGCCCACGGTGAACAGAAAGTTTTGTCTATATGCAGCTAGGGCGCCAAATGTCGTTTAAGTTGTTGCTGTAAATTGTGAGGTAGGCGGACGGTTACTAAGAAAGATTACGTGCCAATCGTATTCTGTTTGTTGCCGTTGGCCGACTTATTCAGTAAGATACGCATAAGATAGCTGACGCTTACTGGCCGAGATAGCAAGCATAGTTTCGAAAGAGAAAAAGATCTATAGGTACTCATCAGATGACGTCGTCACGAAGGTGAAGTATTATTCAAGTTAGCGTGGCGATTTTGATGCCAAAAATAGACAATCTATGCCCGATAAACACTACGTCCCCGAATATTTCTACTGACTGCTTGTGACCAATAGACCAGCCCAAATGGCAGCCTGTCCAGCAAAAGATATTTATAGGAAACGCAGTTTTAGATTACAAAGTTGAACTAAAAGATCAAGTAGTCCCTCTGTAATGCTGGTCGTGCCGTCCAAACAATTTATTTATCGATCGTCAAGGGATCTCGACAATCGATAAATTGTTCACTGGAACTCGATAATACGCTATTGCACGGGCCTCAAGCAAAGACAGAGAAAATACGTAGAAGACTTTCTCGTACGTCGATTTATCCCTTCAAATCCGAAACTAATGGCTGCAAGATGTTGCAAAATCTTATTAGATTATTCCGGGGTCAGCGTTAAAGTAAATTATGGAAAACATTACATATTCTCTACTGCTGATCTAAAGTCTCAAAATGGTAAGTATCAACCTCCCGTATGCTGTTAGGACACTGAGGCAATATAAAACAGCGGCATTAAAGCCTACAATGAGGTAAATATAAAATCATAATGTTAACTTATTTCAAGTTACTTTTGTCTGCAAAATCTCCGCGCCAAGGTAGATCTTATACGAGGATCGTTTGTGTTCGCATGCCAACGACGCTGCTGTTTGTCCTCGTGTGCTGGGCGCTTAAAACTCAGATAGGCGTACATTTTCGTAGAAATGTCAATCGTTCTGCCTATCGTACTCTCTGCCCTCGAAGTATAGAGTATGTTATCGGCGCAAAAGAGTCATTCATTTTTAGACCTACTTTTAGTTTCCCATGGCCCCCAAATCCGTTGTCTTCTACGAAAATTCATGTCATATTTGGCAGTTCTGCCGTATTTCCGTAACGTGTGGTATGACAACAAGTCGTGCGATACGACTTTTTTTTCCTGTGATTTATTCCAAATAATAATTAACAGTGTACATTAATTTTATTTCGCAAGGTCAACATTACTGATTAGCTATATTTTTTGTTCGTTACCAGTTAATGAATCACACGCATCCCGTAAAGTCAATTTACGATCTTTATGAGTGTTTCAGTATTACAGATTTTGGTACAATATGTCCAAACATGCCGTAGGCTTCCAGCAGAATATATTTTGTACTAAATTAAATCGAAGGGATTGGAATAATATTGTCACAGTATTGGCTGCGCTCTTTTCGAAGGGAATAGTCTAATTGTGTGAACATTTCAATTATAGCGAACGCGTCAGGGTTCAATCTCGGCATCGGTGAACTGAGTAGTCCTCTCGGTCTGAACCTTAAAGCTATATCACTACTGTTCTGCCAGAGAATAAATTTGCAGCTGATAGATTTCTCTTAGCTAGATCCGTCGACTGCATTTCAAAGCAAAACTACTTGATAGTAATTTACCGAGACCATTAAATCTCACGCATGGCATAAAACTGAACTCTGATTTACTATATTTCCTAGGCATCTAGCTGTAACGATTCAGTTTTCATAGCAGCCAGCTTGTTTATACATTCAATAATTAGCTGGATTGTGCTGATCCATGACTGAACCAAATCAGTAAAAGGCCTCGCGGAACTGAGACGATCCTGTTTCGTAACGAATACTTTGATGTTTTTCAGCGTAATGCCGGTAACCTTCTCTGATAGTGACTGGGAACGGCTGAGCTACGATGAAGATTCGCAGCCACCGTCGTTCGACCCGGACCTTGAAGCGGGATCCGGTAAGATCACCGCCAGCAGAAATTTTTTCATAAGAATATATTGCATAGCAAGGCACGTGATAGATATAGTTCAATTACATAGATCTACCGTACTGCTTCGGTGTTATAAGGAAGAGTCTACTGACCACATTACACCTTTTATACTTAACATATTTATATCCTGTTTAATATGGAACGGCCTTACTTTTAGGAGATTATTGCATATCAAAGATAAACTATGACGCATCAAAGTAGAATGCAAGGTGTGCATTGGAGTAATAAAAACAGGAAGTGTGACGACTGTTCAGCGGCTAACGACAACTGTTGTCCAGATAAATGCGGTGATGGTCATAGCTGAAAGACGGTGTATTCTTAAAGACGACATTGCGCAATTTGCTAACGCAAAAAACTTCGATAAAATAATATAGCGAAGTTTTTTTTTTGAATAATATAAAATAGGGCAAGGTGATTATGAGGAGGAAGACGTCGCACCATGTGAAGGCGATCCTGATGATGAACTAGAGCATGTAACAGCCCCCTTCGACGGAGATGAAGACGTTTCTGAAAATATGATTATTGCCGATATCTACGAGTCAGGTTAGTGGCTGAATGAAGATTTTAGTCATTTGCCAGTACTTACGTTACTCCTAACGTTGGTCATGTGAATATAAACTACCAGGCTGTTTAAGTTAACTGAGGGTTCGTATTTATATTCCATAGTCTTCCTGTGTTTCGAGCTTTGCGTCTGAAATTGCCGCTAGACATTCGGGTAGAGTAAGAAACCACCATATTTCGTAATTTAACAACTGGCAAACGCACCTACGAATCTCAATGATCGAAACGTAAAAAAATATAAAAACGTAAACGATCACCCACGTTGAAGCTTGTCTTATATTGCAAACGGCTCGATAGCTAGTACAGTAGATATGTGCTGTAACAAATACCGACTCTGGAAACGTGCGCATTTAAAGGGCTCGTCTGTACTTGGTAAGTTTGCTAGCAAAGTTTTTACTCCAGTGCGGCAAATTTTATTTTGTCTAGGCGTAGGGCTCGGTATCCGTAATTAAAATCTACATATTATTCTTTTAAAAAACATCTGTCACATAACAGCAAACCCGATTCGCTCTTCGTAATATACACAGGTATAGTCCCAGATCGTAGTCACACTCTGCAAAATGTCGATGCGTTGTGTCAGCCTCGGGGCGAGCGCAGTGAAAGTACGGGTCTGCTTCTCACACTACTCTATGTTATTCACGATTTTTTCCAGCCGCGGCTTCAGTGGTTTTTCGATAGCATGATTTTCCGCAAGTAAGTACAATATCCTTCCTTTTCTGCATTCTGAGTACAAACCCACGCATTTCAATATATTCTATGCAGTTTAGGTATCAAATACTGTGAACAGACCCACAGCCACCAATGCCATAGTTCTACGTGGAGAATATGAAGCGATACGTGAACGGTGTGGTTCATCTAACAGAAATTGTGTGTACCCAATCAAATACTGATCAAGTGTTGTTCCAGTGTTTGTAATTTTGTCTATTATTTGACCTATGCGTGGGCTCCATAAGGTACCTTGCGGATAACGCAACGCTGTCATCTGCCCTCATAACTGCGACAATCGTCATGGTCCTCCCACTGGCAGCCGCTCTTATTCTATCCGCCTTTTTGGTCGCATGCTCTGCAGCAGCGTGCGCCTTCCTCGTGGGTAAGACACTCAATGTTTCATGCCATACACATTAAGCTAAATTTATTATAGACTGCGTTTTAAATTGAAATCAAGGAAAAGAATATTGAACTCAGAACATGAAGGTAAAAGCTGTTATAGCAGCGTTCAGAAATAAGATGATTTAATTTTCAAGTCAAAAAGTTAATATCAAAACGGTAAGCTAACATTAATCTCGTGTTATGGGAAATGTGTTTGTTTATAAATTTAGATGAGGCAAATTTACAATTAAGGCAAGCTGAGTATGGTTTTTAAGGGCAAAAATTGGCGCAGCGCCTTTCTTACAGTATATAGAGTGCACTGTTTTGCGCTTTTTAAATACATCCTTAAAAGCATCCTTAGCGATACATATTATTGATTTAGCATACGTCAGCTTTTATAAAGGCTTCTACGTACCTAGCTAAAACTCTTTAACAAATAATTGTAAACGTTATCTGCCACGGACATTAATACTGTTATCGGGAAGCTTCATAGCATTCGTTTTGCTCACTGTAACCTATTTCAGTGGTATCCGTGGGCCTGGGCATCGTGTTATCCTTGGTATGGGCATTCTGGGTATCTGTGCCCATCACTATTCTCCTTGCGGCACTCTGCGCAGGATCTACTCTTTATCAAAGAACGTTCAAGGTCAAACTATCCGCCAAAGAGGTCTAACCAGGTCTCACGCGTCGATAGAGAACTATTCATCAAGGTTTCTCTTGTCGCCAATGAAACCGGATGAAATGAAAATTAGAACGTAATTTTTGTTTTTTGTTTTTTGTCATCATATATAGTTGAAATATTTATATGCATGCGTATTCGTATATAAACGACGAATTTCTGTAATCTCGGTCTGAGAGGTACTGTGGTGCTATCAAAGGTCCCTCATATGGCCAATGGGATTAGTAATGCTGAAATCGTAAATATCTTGGCTTATGTACCAACAATAATTATTTCCAGAACCAAACGGAGGTGAAAGGAACAAAATGTCCTCCTTGCGGGTTGACGTTTGAGAAAGATTCGACATTAGGGTGTAACGCACGAACCGTAAATTGGGGTTGTTTCACACCATTTGCTATCTACTCAAGCGTATAAAAAAGTAAAAGTCGCAAAGAAAAGATGGATGTTGATGTATAACATGCATAGTATGAAGTCGCCATATCTACAGATACAGACTCTCTACGATTTCTTCATAATCTATATAATAAGGTGATAAACAAACCGTTCCAGCATGCTTATATTACAGAAGTACGCCTACCCTTTACGGAGCTGTTTTAGAACGGTGCACCATCGAACAACCTACGAGGCCAGTACTTTCTGTTTCTATAATAACTGCCTAATTAAAAGCCTATCGTCGAATAGATTCTGGGACGTACGAAATGCAGCGCATGTGTGTGATAATGTTTGACAAACATCAAAATGAGCCTTATAATGGTCATAGCATCAAACACAGCGAAAAACTTGTATTCACTAGCAGTGTCCGGTTCGTAATGACTGCTAAACTGAGGAATCAATGAACTTGCAGCTTAAACAGCTTGTAGCTCAACAATAAGTACCGTGTTACGGCCCACCGCAAACAATCGCTTCGTTGAATAGTCGTTTTGTTGACGCTTTCATCAGACCTGTAAATCTGAGTGTCGCGTGTATCTAAACGCATTTGGCGCGCCCGTAGGAAAATATTTAGAATCGACCCCAATATTCGGTATCGGTACAGCTGAGTCCCCCTTAATATACTTACTCAAACATGTGTTTAACAGTCGGAAGCAAGACTCTATCTATTTATTAGGCTGCCTGCGGGAATTTTGCACGTTGCAACTTTGTATATCTGATTAGGTAGTTTCGTCAAATGTTAAAACACGAACTAGCAACAGCCGGTATTCTGGATTAAGGGACACAACAGACACATGATGACGTTGCTGATTTAGAAATCTCGCACAGTGTACATTACATTAAACACTCGCTACGATACTAAAAATGAGACAGACATATAGTTAATTAATAAAATTCATCGTATAATTAATAGCGAGCTTATAATTAATATCATTAGATTAGCCTGTACCAATAGAACTGACATAAGGTTATAATAGTGAAACACCTTAATAAATAAATACAGCAACGATTATAATAATGATAATGACAGATTGTTGTCATAATGGTATTATTAATACATCTGACTGTGACTTTGCAAATAAGGAAGAGCTAGGCGACTTTAGTAAATCTTTAGCACAATATCGGTAAGCAACGCGTTGAGAGCGCTGATAAGGAATCATCCGATTTAAATCCCGCCTACAGCTGAAGCTTAATCAAAGTATGCCATTTACATATTTTACCTATTTACATAATAACTAAGTTTTGCTAGCGTCCCGCTTCTCATTTACCATGTTACTGTGGACAGTTTTTGGAAAATATCAATATTCTTAAGTCGCTTGTCAACAAGAGGCGTATATATATATATATATATTACTAAGGTCACGTCGTGCACGCAGATGACTGTCTGAACATATTCCAACGTGATATATCATAAACAGAAAACTGTTATCAAACAGAAGAAAACAACTCATTACTAGTTGTTTGGCAGTGAATCTGTATAAACCTACTTTTTTTCTGATTGTACTACAACGTGTTCCCGATGGTACATTGTGCATGGCAATAACATAAAACAATCGTTTAAGGAACAAAACTTTTTTTAGGAAATATTCAGTAAATCAACGCAGCAAATAGTGTAATCCCCTATTACTGCTTTTGCAAATCGTCCACAGCACTCAGATCTAGGGCTCTAAAACTATGTCTATAAACTTGTTTAGATTGTTCCTTTGTTTACTTCAACTACAAAGAAGATCAATTGACTCCGTTAGCCATAACTGTCCGCCTCATACACCAGCCAACAAATTGTTGCTTCACAGTGTTTTACAATAGTGAGAGAGGAAAAAAGCATTTTCTTAGCTTTCTGCGATCGTAAATAAATATGAATTTTATTTATTTCTTATGCAGTAAAGAGTCGTAACAGTTGTTCAGATTGTACTTGAATCCTGACCACTATGATGCCTTCTATGATTTGTAAATGATACATTCGCTCGTAAATTTATTGAGCTACTTTGTTTTACTACTAATATGTTACTATTTACACGTGATTGATCACAGATGTATTGTTTGTTTATACGGCATTTTGTCCGCCCAAGTAACTCACTTCGAGCTTAGTTCAATATTATCTGCGCAATCTCATCTACTACTGGGCATACTGGTCACTTAGATATAAAAATTCATAATATTTACCCCACTAACCCAGGAATTTTACGACTAGAAAGTGCTGCCCTTCTTTAACATAACATACGTACACATATACACATTGAATCTCAACGCGTCAGGCATAATCAGAATTGAATTAGTCTACACCTTGCAAGCCATACAACTGTGAGTTAAGGTGTCTAATAGACAAAATGATTTCTTATTGAGACAAAATGGTATTTTACTTATCGATTAATTGCGGTACTTCTAATCGAGGGTAAAGAGTGCCAATCATTGCTAACCACATAAGCAATCGCCTGAGAAAAACAGACTCAGTCATGAATGTAAAGCTTTTCAGTTAACCTAACCCACAGACTGTGCCATGTACAGAAGTACACAACGCCTGCATATACATTCGGCATTCACGATGAGAGATGGTACTCACACTCTACAGGGTTCCTGTAGAAGAAAGTCAGTGCCCCATTATTAGTGAAAATGTTACTAAGCACTTTATAGAATAAATGTATGTAAAAGTAGTTTTTTTTTCTTAGACAAAGATTATAGCTTTAATTCGTTGATCTTCTTAATACTGAGGTCGTAGAATATCATGATTGGGCACCGGATAACAAAAGACTGAGAACATTTTATAAATACGATCAAAATCAATTAAAACTATCTTCTAATATGACATATGTGGAGCAAGGATTAGCTGCTGCAGCGCTGTGACATGTTGAGTGAAACTTTTACTGGATTACGGAAATAACCATCTATACGATAATTACTATTATAAGTAGTTAAGACGAACTATTGTGCCTATTCATCTTATCTGGGACTCTCTGTTGATGCTTTGTCAAATAAAACTAAAAGTGCAGCGCTATCCTTAGCATTTAAGGGGAGGGGAGTTTTCTAATTTAGTCCTACGGTGCAGTAGTAGAAAAATTACATCTGAATCGCTAGCAACAAGGCCCCGGTTGTGCAAAATTTAACCATAAAGCCCACATGCCGCTATTTGCCCAACTCCATTTTTAGACCCTTTGAACATGGAAAACTTATAGCCAAAAAAGTGATCGAAACTTGCTTTGATGGCAGATAAAAAAACTGGAAAATGCCGAGCTAAATAATAAAAAAAAAAAAAAGTTTTATTATGAAACAGGTCAAGAGCCGAAATTATTTAGCGAGAACTTTATCCAGCCAGTCAACGATATCATCTGGATTTAATCCATCTATGTCGTCATCATCATCGGCTTCGTCTTTTTCTTCATTTTCAGTGGGAACTCGGGCCTTCAGCGCAGACTTCACCTAGAGCAAAAACATAGTTAATATTCATATATATATAAGGTTCGTTATATACTGTGGAATGCTTAGCTAATAGATGGATCAAAGTAGAAACATAACTACTCTTCCGTCTATGGAGTTGTTTTTCAGAGTAAAAACCCATATTATTAATATTTAAATAATAATAAATACCAAATAAGTACGTACTAAAAGTAAATAAGCACAATTAAGTACAAACTCATTTATTTAATACACTCTAATTTGCCAATTAAGGAGATTAGATTCGTAAACTACAAACCTTCATGAGATCCTTTTCAGCCTCACTCATCACTGCTCGATCACCGCGAATTTCCGATGTGGCAATATTCTTCACGCGTTCGTCAAACGCTTTCAGCCTTTGCTTGGCTATACGCTCAAATTCGGCCACCTGTTCAGGAAGGAAGATGTCCTCCGAAACTCCCAGACGTTCTGGAAGCGGTATGCACTCAAGCATGTCAGACAGCCGTTTCATATCAAGCTTTATTCCACTCACTCCGTCACTAGGTGCTTCATCACCGAAGTCTAAATTGTCACCTTGAGATCCGTATGCAGAAGCATCACTAGCCGAAGCTAAGACTTCATCGAAACTTCGAGGTACAGGGTGCTGTTCTACGTCGGACTCAGACGATGAGGTTTGAGCTCTTGAACTTTTCAAGTGATCGGATTTTTTTTCGCTCATCTCTGTTGTATCAGAAATGCAGAGAAGCATGTTAGACGCACGACAGTATAGTAGAGAAACAATTCTTTGTCAAATATTTTTTATAAGAAGCCCGTAGAAGTAGTTCGCAATGCCTTCTCTCGTTATGAATTTTATTTATGAAATTGCAAACATTGCAAGGTTTACTTACATGAAAAAAGTATATGGGTTATTTTTTTCGGGCATCATACTTACTGTGGTAAATGGATGATTGAAAACTTTTAGCTAATATAAAAATGTTTTCCGCTACAGTATGGCTACTTATACGATCATGATTGTTCATTAATTGTTTTCATTAAATATAGATTTTAATAATGTGAGATAATACATATAAACAGGTTTTTCAGCAAACAATATATATATAAAATAATTGTCTCCCTTACCTCGTTTAAATTTACTCCTTTCCACTTGAGTACGCAATTACAGTTACTTCAAAATCACTTCAAAATCGTAACACGAGACACTTAAAGAAATGAAAAGAAATGATTTATCCACAACTTGTTCTACTTGATTTTGCTAGAGAATATCATCTGTAGGTATTGTATGGTGGAAATTCGTGAAACCACAATAAGCTCACAAATGTGCGGATATCTCGGGGCTGCCGTACGACGACCGATCCAGATGACTTTTTAGTTTCTATAGTTTTTGTCTCACAAAAAAGGTCTTGCTTGAGTTTTTAATCAATATGTAGATTTTCCCTCTAGAAACGTTTAGGAACATACAGCCATATACGCCGCTATAAATTAGAAAACTGGATGTATAAATGTTTCCGTCGTTTTCTAGCTAATCCACGGAACTCGGCAATAGCAAGAAAAGTTCACCGGAGATAAGCACCGCGCTGTCATAATCTGCATAAACAGAGGCCGGCTGAGTTAGTCTTTCGAACAAATGAACTGGTGGAGTTTGTTCAGCGATTCAGCGACGTATGGAACCGAAGGCACAGTAGTGTGGCGACGTAGAAAGAACCTCGCTTGGTTTGTTGATTGTAAATGCGTAACGGCCGAATGCATATTGTATTTCGGTGCGTACAACGATGGATTAGGTCCGAAACCTTTGTGAAGATGAAGTTGTTTTTGGCGTTTGCATAAGCTTGCTAGATAGGCCACGTCGAACGTGATTTTGTAATAAAGCATCTAATTACCGACTGAGAGCGTTATTCGTTGTTTTTTTTTTTAATTTGAGGAAAAACCTGTGTTCAAATATGGGCCTTCTTGTTGTTTATTGTGGGACGAAATAAATTACACATTCATGTGTTTGTATGTTCATTCATGATAAGTTCTACTTCCGGAGTGGTATAGATGTCAAGAAATTATTTGTTTAGAAAGAATATTTGAGGATAAAGGTGCATGCATTTTGCAATGTAGGCTCAGATACACTTAAAAAAATCGCGCTTATTGACTAAAAATGTTGGTCAATGGTAAAATACAGAATATGATAGTTTTCATCTCCAATATCTCGAAAACATTAAGGCTGAAAAAACAATAAAAGAATGTGTTTTTATATAGAGCTGATTGTGGGTTTTTTTATGCCTCGGAAGCGTGTACTGAGGAATCTGAATGAACATTACAAACATTTCAACTTACATGTCAATAAGTTTGTGTTTCAATGCTGTGCTAAGCATAATTCGAGAATTATTTGAATGTACAATATAATGAGAGCCCTAGTGAAAGAAAGATCTTGTTTTTTAACCAGTTTAGCTCATGGTCAATTCAGCTAAATAGATAACATAAGAAAATTATACAGACGTCGAATGCTATTTTCATAAAACTTGTTTGATAACCATTTTTCACACAGAGTTACGTAATCGACATTTTGAAGTGTTCTCGTCACAGTCGGCTCAAACTTATATTATTGCTGCGATCAAATATTCGTCCTCACAAAGTAATACGTTTTTTAAATATTGTTTCAGAGCATCATGAAAAACATATGGCAAAGTGAAGCAATTTTAATTGCCGGAATCCCACTTATCAATTCGTGTAGGTAAGAAATGCAACGACAGATTTTTTATATAAAGCAAAGCCTATTTGCCAGTGTACACATGTAGATCAAGACAAACGACCGATACGGCATCGTCAGCAAGAAAAACGTCTTGAATTGTTTTGACAAAAGTAAGCTGTAGCGTATATTTTTGAGAGTTAATTCATTATTAATTTATGCATCTTTGAATAAATATCGCTATTATTTACTAAATAAATCCAACTCTACTTTAGATGTGTCACCGCACCAGCCGCGTTTTTCCTTCGATTCACCAAGTATCATTTCAAAGACATCTATCGAAGTACCAGCTGAGCTGATGCGCTAACTAATACACATAGCAAGATTTTGAGGATGTACGCCAAGTTCCTGTTAAAATCAAGTGAAATGTGGACTAATATTGTGTTGCAAACTATGTGAGTGATGCTTATGAATTAATCAATTAAGGTGTCAAAAGGAAATTTTAGAAATTCTAATTTAGGACGCTTATGTGATGTATGCTGCACATTACGCTAGTACATTATAATGATTAAAAAAAGAATCATATTAAAAAAAGGAGACAGCTGCTTATTTACATACGGTATCCGAATCCTTGGACAATACAATCGCTATATTTCTATTATTGTCATTATTGTTGCGATTGTACCTCACTCTAATACGCTGTAATACTCAGTTCGATGTTTAACAATACAAAAGGCCACCGAATGCATGTCCTTCAGATTTACCGCCGCTATTCTAATTTTTCCGCTTTACAGGCAAATGGCCTTCAGGCGATGTTTTTAAAATCTACGTAACGGCCAAGTAGCCGTAAAAAACATGTAGAGATGCCGTTTAAAAGCGACAACTTCGCTGCCCTCAAACGCCGATACACCCGATACTCTATTCGAACAGCGATGTTTTTTGACTGGCACAATCGACGTGGTTGGAATCGCAAGATTATTATGTGTGCTCTCATAGTGTTCTTCACTATATATATACCGCTCATAATATATCATTTAAGAGCAACGCGGGATAAGCAGGTAAGCTTTCAGGTTAAAAATTTCAATCATACGGCTTATGTACAGCCAATAGAAATGCTCGCAGTATATTAAAAATATTTAATGTTGCGTTGTAGTATTGCATGTTTAGACCAAAGCATAGTGAAATTTGAGGGAAAAACTTTCCGTTAACTTGTGTGTGTATGTGTTTAGGCAACCACGCTTTGTGTAGCCATTCTTTCGACGCCTAATAAAGAGGGTGCCCATAAACGGGCCGCTTGTCGGGATAGTTGGCTCACGCTGGCTCCTGAAAATGATGCTGCTGTCAAAACATTTTTTTTCCTTGGTCAGCCACTGGCGCATCTTTTAAAAGGACCCCTTGGCGAGGATCGGGCAGAAAGTGAGCCGGGGGTCGCGTTGAATTCAATCAAGAAATCGATTCTTGAAGAACAACAAGCATATGGTAACTTCTGTCCATATTTGAGCGAATTCTAGCTTATAAATTTTTGTAAGAAATTATCATTCAAAATTTGGGTCATATTTAAATTACTTAGAGAGTTAGTGCCTATGTTCATCTTAAGGGCATGTAGTTACTGCTAATTACCCCAGAATATTGCTATTTAAAGTAGACACACAGGTATAGAAGTCGAAAATGGAACTGATAATAGGCTACTAATTATTTTGTCATACACCCTTAGAAGTAATTGTTAACTGGTTGACAACGAACAAGTAGCGTAGATTGCTGCGTCTGATATTTTCTAGTACTTATTTAGGCAAGTGATCACTTTTTGACGAGGCAACTAGACAGCGCCTTCCGTTTCGTTGATATGGTTACTTATAAAGATCTGGTAACTTAAATAGCATTTAGCACCAGGGTTTAAACTTCTCCATTTAGAGAAGCTACAGAAGAGCTATTGCATTAATACGGAGTTGGCTATCATTTTTTCAACAAAGATATTCAATAATTGCCCAGTCTCATTTATTGCATATAGAGTAAAACAAGGAATGTTTTTGCAAGAATCACTAAGAAAATGGTTCCGGATTAAGCGTTCTGAAACTTAAAAGATAACCTTTCAAGCTTGAACGACACGATAGACGCACGGTCTTCGTTACTGATACATTTGACGCCAAGCAATGCAGCTTAGGAAATTTTTGTTAATGTGCAACAGTTTAATATTATTTATTGGTCTGTGTGTAAGCATGATTTTCTCATGAGCATGACGGACGATAAAATGGTAACCAATTGCTTCTAGGTGACCTAGTTGACTTACCCTTGGACGATCACTACGCGAATCTTAGTCTAAAGGTCCTTCAAACTATTAAGTATCTTTCTGAAAACGAACAGTGCAAATTTATTTTCAAGGTAAGACATGGCAAATTTTCAGTACAAGCGGTTGTAGTCACATGAATACGAAGAGGTACCAGTATGTAACTACCAATACCACTTAATTCTATGTCCTCTAATGTATTAGATGCTGTAACTTTATTGCTTGGAGAGTAACTTGGAATAATTGGTAACCCAGCATTTGTTCCACAATACAAAAAGCAAGATGTTCTATCCATTTATGGATGCTCAGTAAAATGTACAATACTTATACAAAACACTAAAATATGTATGTATATACGCTTTGTGTATTTACCTACTTAGAAATGTTTACTGATGAAAAACTAAACGCTGCCTCTAGGATGAATGCTCTTGTGCAAAAACAACATTCTATGTTTTTGTCATAACTGCTACGTAAAAGTTAACTATATATCATTTTTCTATGTGAATCCTCAGGCCGATGATGACACATTTGCCCGACTTGACCTAATGCTTGCAGAACTAACGAATGTCAATTTGGACAAATGGCTTTATTGGGGCTATTTTACAGGACGTGCGTCCGTATACCATAAAGGAAGGTTAGACTTTAAATTTGAAATATTTTACTAGCTAAGCATAAAGAACAATTTTCTCAACGTCTTCATTTCTATCCATTCTGCGGAACATACGTCTATAACTTGTATAGGTTTGCTTCGTGCTCGTCCTTAGAAGTAAAATGAAGACCACAAATGAAAAGGAAACCCTCAGTAATGATTTTACAGCAACAGCAGGTTTTCCTTTAGTTAGCGAGATATTTTCTTTGTATTATAAATTACATTCTTTAGTTTCTTAATTTATATTGGAATAATGGTCATAGATTGCCCGTACCTGTTCAATAATGTTATTAACTATGATGTAATGTATGGGTTATATGCCCAGGCGCAATTTGTTTCAAGTAATTTGTCAGACGGATTAAGTCAGTTTTCATCATAATACTTAACCAGAAATGATTTAATCAAACAAGTGGTGAAGAAATTAGTATCACAGCTATGATTTGAGTTAGCCTTTGTTATGCCTTCCATGAATCCTTCAGGACGCTGCACCATATCTACCATTGTTCGCTGGGCTCTTTGCTGCCTGGGGCACAATAGTACAAAATGATGAGGCGATTACTTTCAAAATATCGATGTGTACCGCATTATCATTCAAGATGACACTGCGCTCTAATCGTTTTAGATGGGCTGAAAACAATTGGTTCTTATGCGACCGATACTTGCCATACGCCCGCGGCGGAGGTTACGTTTTCTCTGGTGGATTAGGAAAGTTCATTGCGGATTATGTGGATGTTTGGGAGAGGTAAGATCAATTGCGAGGGTCTTCGTTTCAAAGTTAAGTACTGAGCAAATTACATTAAAATGTTGACGTAATAAAGGAAAAAATGTGATTTGCATGTTTGCGTGTATAAAGCAAGTACATAAATTCGAGTCAAATAACGCAATAGGTCTTCTAAATATTCCAAACATATATATATATAAAAATATCGTCCGACGAACTGTGATCTTGGTTATGGTAATTTCAGGTATGTTAATGAGGACGTGTCGTTTGGTGCGTGGACTGCCGGCTTAACGTTAAAAAGAGTGCACGATCCTCGATTCGATACAGAATATCTATCCCGGTAAGAGATTTGGTGTAGACGCTGTGATCAAATATATCTTCCATTATAGCGAATTTAGTCAAGACGATCGCGTTTTTATCAGTGGGAGAAATAAGGATAAATAGGAGCTTATAAGTAAGGTTGTCTATGAGGGAGCTTGTTTACGTGCATGTGTGAAAGATACACGTAACGGTTGGGTATTTAGGTGTATTCCATTTCTTTTTCAGCACCAACACTGCTAATCCATAACTGAAGGCTTATGTTCCCTTTTGTATATAGAGTAAATAGCGTATAGTCAGATTTCTCTTGTTTCTCTTTTTTCATAAACCTATTAGGGGTTGCCTTAACTCGTATCTGGTCACTCATAAGCAGAAGCCAGAGGAGATGCGCCGGAAAATTCAAAATTTGAAAAACACTGGTCAAATGTGTGACGTCGAAGGCGAAGCTCGGTCAAGCTACGAATACAACTGGAAGCTACCGCCTACACAATGCTGTGATCAGCAATATAACAGGCGCAAAATCACGTTTATCAAATAAAGTAAATCAATCAGAGATAAATCGAATAAAGTAACTAAAAGTATTATTTAGCGGAAGCGTATTAGCATCACGGAAATTGTTAGGCAACTATCATCATGCAGATGAAAAATTACTCTTGACAAGCGCAAAAGTCGTTGATCCGTCGCTTTTCATCCATCCAATCATTACATGATGCAACAGCTTCTATGATAAGCGTATGATTACTAATGTTTGATGTGACAGTTTTTGATAACTGAACCAATTATTTCAAAATGCATAGAACCACATCTTAGTTTTTCATAAAGAAAATATATTTGGAAGTGCAATATTAGCGTAAAACGTACTGGGCACCATATGCAATATCATAGAAGCCCGATAAACTGCTGAATTGATTAGATCACTACGTAGTGGGCAATACGCGACTATTCCGTATTCTGTATATAACAATATAAGGAATTCACTTTTGACCACATAAGATACGGAAAGACACTGAGGTACGGATGGACGGTGACTGAAACAACAACAGTGAGTGCCTTAGTGTGGCCAATGACCTCACAATAAATACACGTACATGGTCAACGAGTTGCTCGGAAAACTGCGGACTGAATGAGCCTCTCGTAAATGACATGGCCGAACTCGAATTCATTGGACTGAATAGAGCGTCATTATAGTGGGTGTATTACAGCTGAGGGTAATCAAATATATGCATGTACACTAAAGAAACTGAAGTAAGCCACGAAGATGCTTGAGTACAGATGCAAAACAGCAGGTTAGACCGATTAGGAAGAACGGCTAACAGGCAGTGATGAAGATAGTACGAACTTGTGACCTGAGAACATTTTTGACATTAGCACAGGCTCATGGACACGCAAAGAATGCTCTCGAGCCTTGTTGCCTCTGAGTGTAGGATTAAATACATAATTTCTAAGTAAAAAAGCCAGAATTTGATAATAGTTGGTAAATACAATTGTTTTACTATTTGACACCAACTACTGTGTTGTAATTATGAGGTTTGCATTTGCTTGGGCTTGACGTTTTGTTGTCGTTGCATGTTGAGTCATGTGAGATATCTAGTATCGTAAGAAACATGTTGAAACCAACATGCTTCTCACGATACTTTCAAAAAATTAATTACGACATAGAAGATAAGTGATCATCATCAGTTAACTGTTGTAAAGAAGCATTTCAAATCTTTGCGAATAATTTTTAGTCATTCAGTATAATCCATTTGAGTTAAGCGGCGAAGGTCAGTTTAATTTTATTCAGATATCCACTATTGAACCTGAACTAATATAATCGCTGGATCCTAATGCCATCGTCGTTCAACTTTTTTCGTTCAAGGTCAATTCCGTCGTCATAATGCTTTGGTGTCATAGCTGAACACTAACAAAAGGCAAAAACAGAACAATAGTTTGGTAATACTGAGTATTATGGGTTTTTCCGGTAACGGCATAGCGATTGTTATTATCCATATTAGTTTGAAGCAGTGAGCTAGAGTGTTCGTTGCCATAGGCTCCTTTGAATTGTGACTCGCCTGAAGGCAGGTTATCGCAAGGATTTATTTAAATGAGAGCAATACGTTCGTACGCTTAGGAGTATTCAAGGTTTTATAGGAATACCAGCGTTCTGCGCTTGCGACCCAATCTCCCGTGGCCTATGCTTACCGATATCTTGGCTCAACATTGCAGTAATTTGAAGTTATTGATCTACACATTTCGTGCCTGCATCAGGTAATACTGGCCAGTTGAAGAAAGAGATGCAACGCCTGCTTGCACGCGACTTTAGCTAAAGCTTAAAGACCTATTTATTTGCACAGTTTGGTATTAAACTGCGTTCTATATGATTCTATGTCTCTACTTGTAGAGGGAGTATCGCTTTGTGCCTTCGCTTTAAGCCAGAACGTTGCTCGAACTCCTCTATTGAAATCGGCATCATTAGCGACAGCTGAACACTAAAGCAAACCTGTAATAGTTAAGCTGCGAAAATTATAAATATTATTATCTATACATGATAGTTGAGTATGGCTTATGTCAGATTACAATGTGAATCAATGAACAAAAACTCAGTGCTAACAACAGTATGATGGCCACATTCTCACCCTACATGGTATTCTCTTTATTAATTCAAGTTGTATAACATATTTGTGATAGATAAAATTTCAGGCGGCAACTCCGTGCACTTCTAACCAGAGTCTTGCACGCCTAAACTATTAAATTACTCCATCATTGCCAACATTCTTCTATGTGCACTAGATATGAAAATTATCAATAATTTTTCAAGATGGATTAATAGCTTAACATTCGATACGTTCTTCTTTTCTAATAATTTTAAACTCTGCTTGCTTAGAAGATGACCTTTTTCCATTTCCAATTTAATTTAAAAACGGCTAGGAATCGACTGAGCAGAGGCATGCATTATGTATGCTAAAGCATGCATTATATCTTGTTTTTTAGGTTTTCCTCTTCTATAGTGTACGTACCTGTTTAGATTTGCCTACATGCTTGCGAATGAAAAAAAGGTAATAGCGCACACTGAAAACCGGTACCCAAAAAGGACAGACTGAAATAAACAACGAAGTAGTGTTCCTAAATGAGCCCAATGCAGTATTAGCCAAGTGGCAGACCAGTCGATATTAATAATTAGTACGTATGGAGATGTCTACTAACAAAGATGGTTCCGTCGAATCGGTGTGACTCTACCAAACACACGACAAAATATGTGAATATAGAGATCTTGTAAAGTATATATATCTATAATCGTTAATATGGGAAAAATCGGAATGAATTATACGAAATTTATATTCGTTGTTACATAATAAGTAAGCCGCCACACGATTGGGTACATTCCACAATATGGAGGATTTACAAAGTTTCAAATGAGAAGCAAAATCATTCAAAATTCATCAACCTTCGAGTCTGCTTTAAGAGTCGCTAAATATAAAGTAGGTTCATAAAATGGCAAAAAGTGCGACCCTTCTGCTATATAAATATAATTTTCCTCACTCTCGAATTTACCTTTAACAATGGAAAAATATTTTGAAAAACGTTATATATCGCGTTTTTTAGAATAAAAATAAAATAATTATTTCAAAAGGCTCAATTAAATCATAGGCCCCTTTGATAGCCTTTAAATTTGTTGTAAAATTTCAATGGCACTTGAAATTATTCTGCTTTACCAGCATCTGAAGCAACCCAAAAATGAAATATGCAGGTCTCTAAAGCCGAAACATATTGTGGGCAGAATTTCTTTTGTATACACAAAGTTTTTAAATTGCCGTCACAGTAGTCTAGGAATTATTATCCAGGCGACTTTTCACCGCAATCGCGGCGCTAATTTTATTGATCTCTTAACAAAAATGAATGGGCGTATTTCTCAGAATTTTCAAGTAATAGATCGCTACCAAAAATTTCATAGCGTTTAGACGTCAGCAAAATCGCAAGCAGAAATTCCGAATGACTGAGTCTTCACATTTATTAGAACGACCAATGATTTAAATAAATGATTATCTGTTGAATTTTGGACGTAAGTTCGTGTATAAGGGTTGTCTGCTAACTGGCTAAAGTTGGCGCGTTCATAACGCGGAATTTAACCATAAGATTCTAACCTAATTTGAAAAAAAAATGCATTTTTAGCAGCCTATCACCCGGCGTTTTCTGCACATCATGGGATTGGTTTCTTATATATACACAAAAGCAGGGTATCTGATAGATTTCTTTAACGGCGGAACGTCACAAAGAACGGGTTGCTGGTCTAATAAATATTATTGATTTTGAGTATGAGAAAGCTGGCGATAAGATCCATGATATAGTACAATACGTGAATCTCTATATGGTTAAAACCAACCACCAATCTGCCAGTAAATAACAACCACTAAATGATATTTTTAGCTTTACGTCCGGTATAACCCGTAAGCGTAAAAAAATTAGCCTTCAGTGCAGAACAAAGTTACTCTCCACCGATTTCGAACCCAGACCACCTCAATTACACTTGGTAGGCAAGAAGGTAACCTTTCGCACCATTACAACATCACATTACTGGCATTTAAAAATTGGTTTAATCGATAACGAACGGCTGGTGGCTGAAATGTACGCTTCTATAACGTAAGTGAATTCAGTGAGGTAGGCGTCTCGATGCAACTGGTACTATTTGATTACTGCGTTGGCTTCTGCCCTGAGCTCGGCCGACGTGGGATTACCAACCACTGACTTCGGAACCTTTGGGTACGTGTTGTATTGCTTGAGGCGGGAGAAGATCTGCAAACTATAGAGTAATATTTTTATCCAATCAATAAGGTACGGAAAAATACGACACTGGCGGTTACAATGGTCTTTGAGGCCCTCTAGACCTAACGGCAACTTCCTGAAACCACGTGATGCGAAGTTGATATGCGCTAGGGAATAATTGAGGAAGGCTTGCCATTTGGTTTCTTTTTCTATAGGGACCATTTCATTATTCAGCCATCAGACGTTCTTTTAATCGAGAAAAACTATTACTGTACTTGATGGGTGCTGGCTTATTGCAGAGGTTGAGAGCAAACTACATTTTCAACTGCTCTCTTATACAAAAATCAAAGGAGCTCTGTTCCGATCTGGATTGGACTAGGTATCGTGAAATGCGGGCAAGTGTAATATCTTCGCTTGTCTTGTCTCTATTGTCGCTCGGAGTATTCTAAACCGTTACTAAGGAAAACAAGACTAAAAAGGTCAGTAACGGTTGGGCAAACTTGCGTTAATCGATATGAAATGATCCAGCGGAAGTTCAGCTCTTCGGTAAAAGAAATGAAAGGAATCCCCATTTAACCCACATTTGCCCACAGGTACCCACATTTAATGTCCATACACAAGTTAGCGCAGTTACAATTATTTTTAGGGATAGGCTATGACCGTCCCAACTGTCGTACCTGTACCAACTTGTACAAACTTCATAACTTTCGATATTAAAGTATGACACATTCCACACCTAGCCAAGTCTCAATTTTGTTATTTGGTACTTGCGGACTAAAGTGGGTGTGACGTATTTGACCTTGGGTTTTGATGCTAATCACTGAGATCGTTGGCCTGTAAGGTTTACTGTTCCCTATCATTAAAATTTTTCAGCGAAGTATGCACCTCATTACATAGAAATATTTGTTTTCATCGCTGGTGCATTGAAGATAACATTTTTAGACATGTCTGTCCTATTTTATGCATGGATAAGAATCTGGTCCAAAGGATTTCTTTTTTATCTTTAAGGGTCGGTTAATACTCGAAATCAATCGACACTCGTCGTGAGTATCGTATTTTCGTATGTATTTGTCGGATGGACTTCTTTATTTGCACGCTTAAACGGACCTTGATTCTGCGGGATTATCAACTTGTTTCCTCCAGTTGAATAGTTTTTCGTTAATAGAGATCGAGGAAGCCAGCATTAAGTTCATTAACAGCTAGCGGGTTACGTTACTTTTCCGTTGTATTTCCCCATTTATCGATAGGATTTCTGAACCTACTGTATAATAGATTAAGATCCTCGGTAGCCGAACGCTAGCTTTTCAATGCACGAATTACTCGGTTCTTAGAGCCAGCCTCTTCTTGTTGCTTTTGGAGGAAATGCAAACAGCTTCTTACAGTTGCTGGGTTACGTCCGGAAGTTTTTACCGTTTGCTCACTGTCAATGCTATTATCCGCAGAGAGTTAAACGTGTTTTAAGGGACATATATAAGGTCTCATGCTTGCATTGTATCCAAGAGAAGATTCTATACGAATTTGGCTGATTCACGCAAACATTGCTCGCTCTCTAAAGAACCTGTTGAATGACACTATGCGTCTACAAGTTCGACGTATGGGTTTGAGCGTTAAGGACACTGTCTACAAGAACTAGCTTTCGCTCTGTGGATGATGACATTTAGAGCATGTCAAACTTCAATATATCTGACAAATTCTGCTTACTTAGTCTCCTTAAATATAACTTATGTGATCAAGCACCGTGAGTTCTGACGATTGTTATGTTGTTTATTCCAATATCAAAGGCCACCAACTTAGTTATCTTAGCATGCACACACTACGCAGTTGTGAACTCTGAATCGATGCCCGTCTGGAATGAGCTACGAGACCACATAGACATCGGTCGTTGTCATTGATTCATTTCATAATTTCGGGCTGCGCACGATTCGCAAAAGCTTCGGTTGATGTATTTGTCAGCATAGGCTGCACTGATATATGTGTCACAAGGCTTCGAAAAGGGTCCTCGAACACTTCCAATTGCCTCGCCAGAAACATTCTCTTTTAGCTGCTTAGGATTAATTGAACTGTTTTCTTTTTAAATTTGACATAATACTAAACCCAGTTTACTTTTTGAGTGCTGCCATGCGAGTCCTTTACATGCCCAGCATGCAAAAAAGAAGTGCAAATGGATGAATTTCACTCCTTGAATTGCTCCAGAGACATAGAAGAGTGATTAAAAAACGTGAAAATCAACCCAATTATCAAGATAGCACTTAGGAGAGCAAGCATACCGATTACATGGGTTTGTATTTGTCATAAATAAGACGCCCAGTAACTCACCGCGGCATTGTTATCTCACAGAAGATGCCCTGCTTAGAACATGACACCACGATCCCGTGCGCGGAAGTGGCGCCATGCTTGTAGCCAAGCGTGGCTAAGGTTAAATCAATCGGAAACCATGGCGGAACCCGCCGGTTTTGTGAAGACGCGTAAATATGCTAAATTAAGAAACTAGAAATCGTCGTAAGAGGGAAAACGCTGCTTGTGAAGTCTCTAGGAATTTAGGGGTGTAGATACGCACCTCACTTGTATGTAAATTTATTGATATCGAGTTAAACTATTCAACAAAATAGTATAGTGTTATTTTTTTTTATATATGTGTACGCCTGCGTGTGTGCGATTCGATTGTCATTGACCAAACAAACAATGATCTGATCATGAAAGGAGGTTCGCACATTCCAGTGGCTACATATGGTAGGTAAGATTGGCTTAAATATCATTATCGGAATCTCCTGTTAGATAAGCCCCGATATGCATTCACATTTAACGCCCCCCCCCCCCCTTTTTTTTTTTCAATATTGTACGCGTACTACTCACTCATATTCAAGGAAAACCAGATGAGCTTAGAGTCAGAAATATAATGTTTCTTCGAATATAAAGCGCAGCTTGGCCCACAATGGCCATTATTAGCACTGTAGTCATTCTTCAAGGTCTTCATCCTTGATGTAACATGACTGCTATTTAGACTAATCTTTCAAGATTTATGTTTTGCTTCCAGAGTAGAAATAGTAATTTTGCAAACGAGCATGCGCACTTCGCTAGAAATCTAAGTTGCAAGTCATCATGGTCGTTACCCATTTTTCATTTTGTGATCATATATATGAACATTTTTTGCATGCATATGCTGCTTCTTACTAACCCGAATATCATCAAGCTTGAAAACAACGTTATTGTGTTAAGGCTAGTTGGGTATGTAAAAACCCATTTTTACTATAGCAAACCTGTTGTCCCACTTCCGTCATGCGCTTTAGGATCATATCAGGCAAGAAGCCACGACTCGATTACTAGGAATGTATCGTTTTTTTAGGTCCCTGTTATCTGCGCACGTCTCAGACAGACTTCAACTCATCTGTGGTCGAACTGATATAATTATTCAGATAAATTGCGTGAAGAATGAATCAAATGAACTACCGAGCCTCAATTTTTTGTCTCAGTTATTTTCTCCGTTGTGAAACATTTATAAGGCAAACATATTCAAACTGATTTACAGACTATTTTACTACTCGGTACGATGCTTTCGCTCAACGTATACATCATGGGTTCGCGTATAATCTATTACCAATACGACAAATTAAATTTTCCACTGCCTAACTTTCAGGCAGGACACAACGAGTGTGCCTTTACTAGATGTTTTACGAGCATTTCGAAAGATCGCTGGCAAAGCTTTAAAGGCGTATACTGCATTGACACGAGAGATGTTTATTGATGTCGAGCTGAATTGAAGCGAAAAAGTTCCTAAAGCAGCGGAGCGAGTCTCCGCCACATTAGCTGCCATCGATGACTTCGTTACTAATTACCAAGACTTCATTCACATCGTAGCACATGAGTTTGTTTTTTCTTTGGTTCGAACTAACATTGGAGCACTTCTCATTCAGCCAGCCAGCCAGCCAGCCAAAATTCGAAGATCGTTCAAGGCCGAATGGCGGGCAGCAGCTTGATAGTGGTTAGGCCAGAACCTTCGTCTAGCGCCTGGAGAGGGCCTATTCGCCATAGAAGGATTAGACACGGCACGGGAGATTCTGGAACCTGGTGTCGCTAACGGATGATGGACAGGCATTTGCTTTTCTTATTCTTATATTTTCTTATTCTTATTATATTCTTTCAAATTCTATAATATATTATTGTAGCTCGACAGAATTATAACGTTTAGTGCTTAGATGCGTTGCAATGATGTGATAATCACTAGATAATGACGTCAACACAAAAAAATACGGACGACATTTTGGTATGAAACGTTGCTCTACGTATTTACAGCTGTAAATAATCTGTAGTACGTGTATTTAATCACCGCTTTAGAAAGAAGTTTGCACCGCAAAAGAAGTTTTGTCTCCATTCGCTGTTTTTGTTTTTTGATAATTTTTTTCTCCATTAAAAAATCATGATTGTATCGTACGTGATACAAATAAGAAATGCGCAGTAAAGGATCGCGCAGTAAAAAGAAAAGCGGACAAAGCCGCTGGCTTTCTATACTCTTGACCACCATCATACCACTCTTAACCAACGATGCTGTCGACACTTCTGATATGACATGGAGATAAAAAGATTAACTTTTGTAGCGTAGAGTCTTAAAAAGCTTAAAGTAGCAACAAGAGCCATAAATTTTTATATTTACAATAATAGCCGTAGATAGGATGTTTGCTGGTAATTGTTATTCAAGGCTGAAGTTGTTATTATGAGACGTAAACTATGAGTTTTTGTATATAAGATCTATTTCTTTCAGTAGCACAACATTGGGCTTTCATAATTGCCGGCCTGTATATCCTACGCCGGCATATAACTAAGTATAACAGACAACAATAAACGCGGACAGGCTTTGACATACAAAGCTAATTATACATATATATATATATATATATATAAAACTAAATAAGATTAAAAAGTAAATCAGTGTTTTTTGTAGTTAATATTAAACAAATTATAGAGATTTGTTGGGTATTTCCGGGTTGGCTAGCATAATAAAAGGTGCTGAAGAACATTTAAACGCAGTTATAGAAACAACAGAGCAATTATAATGCCAAATACAGACTTCAGAACGTCTTTGATCAGTAATGTCAACTTCAGGTAGTTCAGCAGAGCGTCCATTGCACATTCACTAAAATATTGTCTCGGGGAGTGCCTAATTCGGAGTATTGTTGTCTCCCGACTAGAAATAGCGCGAGTTCCAGGTAAATTCCAATATTTAGTTGGCGCGAAGAAGCAAACACACGCTGTTATCGAAATAACGAAGTCACTTTTTTTTTATTTATAATGCAGTCCAATGTTTTGGTTCTCCGCGAAGCGAGTCGGGCTCTTTAAAGTGCGAGTAAAGAATTCTCTAAAAATCGTACAATGAGTACTTCATCTCGAGATAGTTCGCAGCATAACACGCCAACCAGAACTGAATCTTCAACTTGGACCGAATCATCAGCTTCCAGTTCTGCTCGGTAAGGTGATGTGTATCAACGGGCTGCCACATTTACTTAAATGTCGTCCGTTATTATATATAATAGAAGTACACTGCAGTTAGACCAAATGATGGCTAGCGTCGTTCATCCAAAGATCTTCTATTCTGTTTTGGATGTATTTGTTACCACTATCCTTTCGTTTAGTCCATACCGTTTGCAAGAAGCTGCTAGCACTTACATACATAAATTATGTAGATTTACTGGCTCCGGACTGTAGTAGTGGCGAACTGCGAGGCGCAGATATGGTGTAAAACTGAGAACGACCTCTAAGTTCCATAATAACATAGAAAATAGCCTAGGTGTGCAATCCATTCAATTATCCATAAAATAAGCTTTATGGATAATTGACATTTGACTTTTTATTTTTTCAACTCCAAATCGATGAGTGCCGTTATGTAGACGCAGGTATATTCGTGTATATTGCCATAATATGTATCTGTTTACAAACAGATGTTTTAATGTAGATGTTAGATTAGTTTTAATGTAGTAGTAGTAAAGTACAAGAAGCCATTCTAAGGGACGTCTTCAAGGGAATAGAAATTCTCGCGATAAGGCTCCAACGAGTTCAAACTGATTGAAATGCAGGAGCTTTTGATTTCATTAAGCTTTGAAGCTTGAGATTGCCGTCTGCAAAAATTGTTGTGCCTGCAATAAAGGCTATACAGTTATTACCGAAAAACCATGTGAAAAAGTTTAAGAGGATCCTAACAAAAACTAATACTGTTATACGTATTCTAGGCAAATATTTCAACTGATCTTTTTTTTACCCCAATTTGAATAGAAAGAAGCGTACTTAATTATTGTTCTCAAGTTAGATGTAGAATTAACAATATTTCTTTTATCAAAACAATACTCTAACGTAGACCTTTACCAATGGAAAAGATCGGATTGCCCAGTAGGTGCCACACGATACTGATGAGAGAAAACCAGCTGAATTTGTAAGCGAGGTTACGAGCTATAGGAACAGATTTTAAGGTGATTCCTTGAGCAGTCGTTATGACTTAAGTATTAAAAAGAAGCCGCGCTTGATAAAAAGCGACGGCTAAGACGGATGTTAGGTCACTATAGGTAGAGGGATGAATCTGATGGAATCTGCTTGACGACGGTACGGGACGCAAACTCGAAACTTGAAATGTTACACATCATTTCGTCACTGCAAGATGGCAGCCAAGAATAAAAACGCTTCGTATGATTATTATGCAGTGAATATACAGCTGTCGTAGTAATCGCCAGATAGCTACGTACAATTATGCAGAGTTTGTCGATTTCGGTGCATTGAAGAGATATCCATAAAGCATATTTTTTGAAGAAATTTTGGGACCGGGAACGCTTAACAATGACTGTTACGGATATCCGCTGGAACTGCTAGTATCTCGAGAATAAAAACAGCATTTGTATATTGTATTTCGATTTCATCTGTAGTGTTGTTAAATTCGAACGTTAAGGCACAATGGACGTTCCTCATTTGGGGGAGGTGTAGCCCAACTGCAATTTCAAAATCGTACTTATTTTGCGGGTCCATTGATAGATACGAAAATGAGCAGATACGGTATGGAAAAAAATTTTAATATATATATATATATATAACGTGGTAACACGGGAGAGCGAATCTTGATTTCATCATGTTAGTACCACCCGCTGCGATCACTTCTTAAAATTTTTCTAGTAATTGTTTTCAGAGACTTTCTTCCTATGCATGCAAATAACTCTTTTTTAAAACAGTCTGTAAGGAGGTGATACTCAACTACTGGGAGTCAGAAGTAAAGTTCAGAGATGTAGAGTTAACGAACGAAGTTAATGTCCGAAGACCAAAATTGTTAAATCTTGAAAGTCAGAAACCGAAAATCCTAAAAAATTTCGAATTTCGAAGTCCAACATCATCGAGGGCCTCGGAGGTCCGAAAGCCAAAATCGCCGTAGGCTTTGAATAATTCCAAAAAAATTGCCGAAGGTTTGAAAGTTTAACATGATGAGAGTTTTGGAAGCCTGACGATAGCAGAATGTTTTAGAAGTCAGAAGAATGGCCGGCAGTTTCTAAAAGGCTCAAATGTAAAAACGGCGCTCGGAGCCTAAAAAATAGAATATCTGAACGCACTTGAATCACCTAGAATGCGCTATGCAAGCCCCGACTTTTTTAGTGAAGTATTAATGCAAATTTATGAACCAGCTTCCCTGAATCTAATTAAAGTCATAGTGCCGAACAGAACTGTAGCGGCCCACTTATTATTAAATATAATACCTGATGTGGTGCTGTCTATGACGAGAAGGGTGAGAAGGTGAATAGGCTCTGTTTGCTAACCATACTGCGGGCTCAATTCCTAAATCATATTTTTTTTATCGTAAATAGCGTGAGGCCCACTAGTTTTAATCCTACAAACAAGATGCTTTGGGTTGGAGTTCGATTGACACTTCTATTTCTAAATATTCGAGCTTCCAATATCGATCCACCGTACGGTTATGCTTAATGGATCTGGGTATTATTATAATAACTTACTTATATTCAAAATCGGTCACCACCGTACCTCCGTACAACAGTGTTCTTCATCGCAAAAATGCTGGCTCCGTCTGTTACTGATTGGCGTATGATGTTGCTCTGGGTAGGTGAGTAGCTTCATAAACCTGGGCACTCTAAATTATTGCTTCTTAATTATTATTTTTTTTACTTTTCTTTCAAGTACTTAAATATTATTATAATTAATATCTGGTCGGGTCGAACGGTGCCTTCGCAAAGTTCAACCAGCGCTAAAAATCGGAGAAATCAGATGCTTGAAGTTTTAGGTACAATTTGGCGATCTGGAGACCGGCACATCCGTAAATATTACCATTATCTTTAATGATTGCTTTTTTTTGTGAAAACGTTTACCACTTCCGATGTTGTTGTTTCTCTGCTAAAAGCGGACGAACTCGTTAGTAAAATGCCTATGTTGTAGGATGTGCCACTCTCGGCAAAGTTCATTTTCATTTCACTTGTGTCGATTGCTGAAAGTTGAGTATCAGGTAAATAAACATTATTTTTCGCAGCTCAGAACAGTGTGCCTACGTCAAACCTTGCCTTTAACCTCAACTGGGAATGTCGACAAATAAATAAAGCTAGTATCTGAAACAAATAACACCTCATTATTATTCCGCTAGTGTAATTGTACTAAACATTTACAACAGTGCATTTTTCTTTGCTTTGACAAACTTTGCTTCCAGCCGATATACGAGTGATCGTCCCAAAGTACCTGATCATTGGAGGCAACTTCGCACGTTATATTGGAAGGACTACTTAATATCTAAATGGAAAAGGCATTACTGCACCTCGTCACTCGAATTACTCATTCCCATCCTATTTCTGAGTGAGTGGCGCTCGCGTAAATATATACAGCTTGTTTGCTTTGTGTTTATAGAAGAATATTTTGAATTGACCAATTGAAATCAAACAGATTTCGTTTTCGAATTCGAAGAACTTCTTCGAAGCTTCACTCTGCACTGCGGTCCGGAGATTTTTGTTTTTGTACACTTAACTTCATAGTAACTATTCGGTTCAAAACGTAGTGATCCTAAGAGTATACAAGGCGTTCCAAGTTAAAATTTTCGTTTGAACTTTTGTGGAGAGTTCGGCTGTTAAAAGCAGCGCGTCTCTAATTTGATTTATTAGATAAAGATGTGTTTTATGCAATGATAATGACTCTAGCCTGTGTCGTTCACAATTGATATACTGTTTCTATTCTACGAAACGTACCGATCAATTAGCAGTAATAACGCTGATAAAAGCTCATATAGTCGTAGTTCACTGAATACATACACTGGTTATATTGCGATCTAATTTTAGTTCGTACATATACATCGTAGAAAATGTATACTTCGAGGCTCTAATGGCATTTCTGCTAATTTTCCCATTTGTGCTCTGCTGTTCGACTAGTGCTTGTGGCCTACCTCCGTGGATATGGACGACAGTTTGGAGGGACCTGGGTTGGTCCTCATAGGTACCGCAAATTCACTGTAGCCGCGTCGGTAAATTTCGACGTACGTATATGCTTGAATCCATCTGATTTGGTTGCACCTGTTTCGTCATAGATTCGCCATTAGCAACACGACGTGTTTATTAATACAACGATTTCAAGCAGTATGAGCGCGCATTTATTGATATCCTTAGTGCTCAATGTATGCTAAAACATTCACTGTCAAAAATTGTTTATTGGCTTCTCTCTAAACGAAAATCGGTGTAGTATATTTTTACCATAATTGGTATAACACCGGTAAACAAATGTGCCATTTTTGTGGGAAACAGTAGCTGAGCTTCATGCGGTTCCCAGCAGTCCTCACCAATACTGAATTCGTATGCGTGGGACATAATTATTTCTTAATGGACAGTAGTTCTCAATTAAGCAACTATAGAATTGTATAACCTCATCGCAGAAAGGCACTTAGTGCTGCGAAATCTAGTTGGCAAGTCCGTCCTTCGGCCTACTAGCTTCGTAATTGTTAATTCTATACTGAACCTGCAAAGAGATGTCATTTGACGAGCGCCTACAGCATGAATAGATGAAATCATAGAAATAATCAGAGACATTTTCCACCAACTTTTTTCCTGACTCCGATGCATACAGGCGTACGTTTGTCTAGCTATTCGTTAATTGTAAGTCGTGCCTAGTATGATGACTTGGATTGAGCATTCGGTCTTAGGTATGGCTGACGGAACGGAAACACGTTGCGTGCAATACAAATAAGTGAAGATAAACTGTTGATCATTAGGTAATGTTCGCCATTAACTATTTATCCCTACACAAGTAGAAAACCATAGCGCTCCAGAAATCTAACGAATCAAATTAGACAGATTAAAATGAAAAAAAAAGCACACACAGTAGCCGACCTTCGAAATGGCCGAACGGCAATAGCTGTTTGCCAATTTAATATTCTTCACCTAAAGTCCGCGATCAGTCAGACGTCCTTCAAGATCGCTGCTTGCAACCAAAGTAATTAGGTTTCTAGTAGCAGGGATTGCTATGATTGTCGATCTCATCTTTGAGACTAGTAATCACCTTTTTTTTTTTGTTTTTTTTTGTTTTTTGAATCACTTCAAGGATTACTAGCAAACAGTTATCTGTTTGCTTTTAGACAAACATTGTTTGTTTGAAAACAAATTCTATTCATTTGTGTTGAATCAGCAGAGGTCATGGAACTTCACTAGAAATAGCACAAAAAAAATATTCGGACTAACTCGGCGTTTCCGGTAAAATGATTAACGATATACTCTTTGCCGAAATGTGCACAAATATTTTTTTATCTAGCTAAATTAAAAATCGCAATTGTTCAAATTTAAATCTATTTTCTATCTACATCTAAATTTTATTCTTTGAGCATGAATTTTTCAGCAAAGTAGGTGTTTTTTGTAAAGCTTGAAGTTTTTGAATCGAAACGCCTCTTCTAGACAAATGGATCTGAAGTCATTTATGCGCCAGCGACAGATTACACAAACATGACAGTGCCAAGTGTTTTCGAGAGCTCCCCGAGTCCCCCAGGTGAGTATTTACTTATCTATCATTTTCAAATTGCCTTTACGTTCACTTTGAGAACAAAGTTTCAAAATAACATCGGGTTCGATAGACTGTAATGGTAACTGACTGATGCTTTTTAGGCTTGAAGGCTGCAATAAACTTCTTGTCCGAAAATACCACACTATTTGACCTAGAAAATTAAAGGCATGTACGTACGGCAGCCGAGTTTGGATAGCCGCAGTTAAGTAAACGCACAATGGTATTGCAACTCAGCTAATCTTTATGATCCTTTCATTGCAGTTTCTGCGTTATCAAAATAAGACTTAATTAGGTAAAAAATCTTGAGCATCTGCGTTATACACATGACAACCTAGAACGCTAAGACGGCAGATCACGGTGGGTTAAATGTGTGTCACCATGCATTACGCTGAACTGGTCCAGTATTTTTCATTCTGGGTTTCACGTGTTTAGGAAAAAATTGTTCCAACTTGTATTATTAATACGTTTTTGGGCAGAACAAGAGGAATTCAACGTTTACGGAATGAACTGATGTGCCTATAACGTTGGTGTGCGAGGAGTAACTCTATTAGATAAATGCGCCCCTCACAAAAGTTATTTTTACAAAAGGCCTTTATTGATCAGCAAACAAATTAAAATCACCACAATAGCACCAAGCCGAATTTAAAGATACAACTCTGACATTTTGGTCGACATTTTTTCTCTTGTGAACAGTCTCTCTAAGGACCGGTTGTTTTCAGCAAGAACGAAGACCTGCCTAACGGTGCTAAACAAGAGCAAATGAGAGATGCTATTGAGAAACTTGATAATCAGCGGTATTATGTTGATGTGGCCGAAAAGGTCATAAAAGATCAGTAATGATAATTATCATTATGTTGAACGACCGTTGACTGTCTCTGTGAGGGACAGTTACGTGAAATCCTCGATAGGTGAAACATCCAGATCTCGTTCATGTCACCAAGGTGAACAAATTTCGCGCTATGCAAACGGTAGAAGTTAGAACTTGATGGCTTCGCGGTGGATCCTTTTGTATTTAGCGTTGACATTAGTTCTATTGTGCTAAGCAGAGAAGATTCAGGGTTACACACAGGGAATGTGCGCGAGGGTGGTTACGCTGAAATCACAAATTGATAAAAATTGCAGGATGACCGGGTCGGGACGAAATTTTGGCAAAAGAAGGGACTCTAGACTCGTATATTTAGTTGAATGTGCAGTTGAATCTAGGATCTTTGTTGGGCGGTTCTGCGGGCCAACAAGCTTGAACGGTATTGGGCATGTTCAGTAAACCTAGAAACATTGTTCTCTTAAATCCAGATCAGGATTTTTAAGGATACTAATAAGTGAAAAGCATTTGAGTCCGGCAACCTCTGCCGACCGACAATTGTCGATACGGGGAGGTTTTTGATAAAACGTGAAAGTGCAGCGTCTAAAAAGGTAGGACTTGGCTTTGCTTCATAACAAAATTCAACTCTTTCTCTGCCTGGAAACAGGTTTGACTTAACTTGAGTGAGCATTGAAGGTCATCACAATCCCCTCTGCCGTATAAACTGCATCGGTGTAAATTAGACGTTAAAAGTATAGTCCGCTCCAGTGAGTTGATTCTGACAATTTGCTTTTTCTTACAGTGCTCAATGGCTTTAAAACGATAGCGGATCTGATGCGCTACCTCGAAGGAAATCAAAGCACCAACGTAGAGCTCGCTATCCTGTTCGACCCTGACACAGCAAACGTAACTTAACTTCAACTAATATTGAATCATATATAATAGGTCAAGTTACTCTGGTACTAAAACCTATCCTTTTTTTTTTTAACCCGACCCTGCTCATTGTTTGCTTTGATCGAATACATTCTGTGTGTTGTGATAATATTTTAAAATACTGTGCTAATATTTAAAATTAAAGGGCAGCATGACCATTGCATGTCTTCTTACTCGGTTACGGGCATTTCATCGCTTACATGGATATTTTAAGAAAGAGAACGCTTTAACTAGTTATTTTCAGTGTGGACTGCATATTCCTTAGCATGTCTGTTGATCTTCATTCTGACTACTCAGGTAAAAAAAAAATAGCCGTGCACGCATTTATAATCAGATTTA